TTTTTATACAATTTTCCATTTGAGGCAGTTAAATATACTCCCAGATATTTAACCATTTTCACCATCTGAAAATCTGTAGCTTTAACCAAACTTTTCTTGTCATTGGCTAACATATTCTTAGATAATATCTTAGTCTTATGGTTATTGACTTTAAAACCAGAAACTTTTCCATACTGTGTTATAAGTTCTAATAAACAATCAACCGCTCTAATCGGTTGTTCCAAAATCAAAACATAATCATCCGCAAAAGCCCGTAATTTATACATTTTTTCTTATCTTTATACCCTTGATTACCGTTGATTCGAATCTGGATCAACAAAATCTCCAATGTTAAAACAAATAACAATGGAGATAATGGACATCCTTGTCTTGTCCCTTTTTCAATATTAAAAGTCTCAGTCAATCCCCCATTAACAGCAATTTGAGCTGATTGTTGCTGATATATAGCTTTAAGTGCATGTAAAAAATTATCCCCAAAATTCATTTTCTCTACCAATGAGAATAAGAATTGCCAATCTAATTGATCAAAGGCTTTTTCAGCATCCAAAAATATAAAAGCCACAGGAATCTGATTGTTCTTATCCAAATACTCAATTAAGTTAATAATTTGTCTAACATTATATTTCATGTATCGCCCTATTATGAATCCTGATTGATCACTGTGAATAAAATCCTTCATAACCTGCATTAATCTATTTGCCAAAATTTTTGTAAAAATCTTGTAATCTACATTTAATAATGATATCGGCCTATAATTCTTAGGCTCTGTAAGATCTTGATCCTCCTTCGGAATCAATGATATAAACGCTCTTTTCCAAGAAGGAGGAACTTGTGCTCCCAGCAAGATACTATTAAAAAGCTCCTTTAATGGCTCCAACATTTCTTCATAAAAATTTTTATAATACGTCGACGTCAGTCCATCTGTTCCTGGAGACTTTCCCACCTTTAACTGCTTGATAGCTAAGCCAATTTCCTCCACAGTAATTAAACAATTCATCCCATTTTGCTGTTCCTCAGAAAGTTTAGGAAAATGTACTGATTGTAAATATTTATCTATATCCATTCCCTTTATATTATCACTTGAATATAGTTTTGTGTAAAAATCTAAAAAACTCTTTTTAATCAAATTTTGCTGAAAAAACTCAGTACCTTTATATTTTACTTTCTCTATAATCCTAGCCTTCTGTTTCTTTCGTAACTGATAAGCCAACCACCTCCCAGGCTTATTCGCATTACAAAAAATATTATGTCTCATATAACAAATTGGTAGCCACCTGATCTGCCATCAACATATTAAATTGTTCCCTAAGCATTTTTATAGAAACAATTGTTGACTGTATAATTATTAGTTATAAAACTTTTCAATTAATAAATTGTCTTTCTTTAAAAAGAGACTGAGGAACCAAATGTGTTTTCAGAATTTTACTGTAAAATCATGTAGCTTTTTTTTCTTTAGTTTTGTGCATTTTAAAGATGCTTTGTGTTACAACAGATTTCACAGCTATTAAACTAGCTGTGTCTTTTTCTAGGTTTCTGCAGCTGCTACTTCTAGTTGTGTCTGCAGTATATGCACCCCCAACCAGTTGCTTCTTAATTTCTCCATGATTTGTGACTTCAAAAACAAGTGTTCCTTGTAGTCCAGCACATTCAAAGCACCTCTTTCAAAGTTATTTCACAATGCTTATATTGAACCACCGTTTGCTTCTAGATATACTGTAGGCAGCTAAAAATAGAGAGTAGAAAGACATATGAATGACCTGCCTCTGTGGCTAACTTACCTTTTTAGTTATGTCAACCCATGATTACACATAGTGGGAAAGATTAATACTGTTTAAACTTACAAAGTTACTATAAATATCTACTATCTTTAATAGATTGTTTTTACCCTAACCCTAACCACACTAAAACAGTGGCTGACAACCTTTGCTCTACTATACTAAGTGCATAACTAAGCAAGCAGCAATAACCACCAACTTTGTTAGAGGGAAACTACCACATCTCCTTACTTAGCTATAGTGGATGACAACTTCAGTTATTTTTAATTGCCCCGCAACCCGTTACAATTAACCATGAATCAAGAACACATCATGTTTAGTTCAGTCATGAATGCTGTGAAGCTTGGAATATTCTAAATCAGGCATGTCAAACTGCCTGCCCATGGGCCAGATGCGTCATGCCGAAACTGCACACATTTCACATGACGTCGCAAGTTTGACATGCCTGTTCTAAATTGTCACTCTAAATTATACAAAGAGAATTCTTTTTTTTCAATTTCTGACCTAGTTAAATTGAAAAAAATGTATAGTTCAAACATTAAAACAAAGGAATGTTGTTCAGATTTACTGGCAATGCTTGATTGTAGCTACCAGGATAGCAGCACCAGCTTCCCCACTGGGAGCAGATAAAGCCTCCGACTCAGAGTTTATTACATATGAAGTAATAAAAATAATTTGAAACAGTGGATCCCAATGCTAACTGCACTTTTCTGCAATAGATTGTTTGGCCATGATACCATAGCATTGGGGTTTGGCTATTATAATATTAATATATAAGAAGGGCAAACGAGTTGATTCAGCTAACTACTGCCCAATCTGCTGAGTCAGATCAGAAAAATATATACCAAATATCTACAAGAGAAATAGATTGACTTGAATCTGAGGACATTCTGAACAAGCTGGGTTTATAACAGGACAATTAACATTAAACCATTCCTTGGTGCTTCAACACCTAGTAAAATAGTATACCCACAACTCAGGACAATTTCTCTAAGCAGCATTTATTGATTTCAGGTCAGCTTTTGATGCAATATCTAGGACTGAACTGTGGTATAAATTTAAAAAAAATCACAATTGACAATTGTGCATCAAAATTGAGAATACCAGAATGAAGGTTAGTGCAGTAATCAAGAATATGCCACAAAGGAAATATCTATAAGGAGAAGAATTAATCTGAGATGTGTATTGGCTCTTTTATTCAACTACTACATAATTAGTTTTTCACTTAAATAACTCTACCTTTCATTCCCTTATGTTAGCCCAAAGATGTATCTATTTATTACTGTATGCTGATGATGCAATAATCGTGTCATTATCCTCCATTGGTCTTAAAATAATTCTGAGATCACCTATGTTATCATTGTACTGAGGAGGAACTAATAATAAATTACACTAGCAGTCTTACTTTCTGTAAGTGCCCAAAACAGAGGATCTGGAACTTAGGTGGGCAGCCCATTGAGCAGGTTAAGATTTTTAGATATCTAGGAATAGTTTTCAAACCTCAGGAAGCAGAAATGCTCATCTGGACTATGTATCCCTCAATGCACAGAGATTTGCATCAGCTATACAAACTTATTATTTTTACAGAGGAGCACAGTTTATCCCTGCTGCAATTAAGCACCATTGCTATAAGGGATTCAATTAGGACCATATAACAGTATGATAAACTTAGGAAGGATTCAAACAAAATTTCTAAGAAGTATCTTCCAGGTTTCCCACTGTGTTCCAAATACTATACATCGACAAGAAGCAGGAGTCAGTAAACTTGAATCTAATCGTTATTGATTGATTGAAACTACATCACAGCCCTAGTGGGCTGACCCATCTAATATTGGCAGACAACTACAAATCTTATTAGGAAACAACAATCCAAAAAAACCTGAGCCTCTATGTTTTTCCAGTAAGGCCATCTTAACCTTACAAATAGATCAAGTCTGATCAGTACTAAGGCAAACTGTCTTACATATATAAGGTCAAATAAAAATCTTTCACAATATACTTGCAAATTACTGAATTTTAGTGTCTAAACCAGTCTCATATTTATATTTATCACAATTCCCATATTTAGGAAAACTTATCTTTAGCTTGATTTAATCTCCCAACCGCTGTCCTGGAAGGGAAATATAGGAAATTATAAGAAACTCGATATTGCCCTGTGTTTTAGGTGCCATTAAAAACACAGCCCATATTCATCTATATTGTATGAGGATATTTGCCACCAATTGATTACACCTACTTCATTTAAATTTCTGGGGCACTCTGATAGCTTTTATCATTTAAATAATAAAGATAAATTTATTTTTATAACTATAGCAAACTTTTGCTACATTGTATCTAAGCTTCACCCACAAATTGTTGCTAATAGTTCTTGTTGTTAGGGAATAGTTTTTCTTGTTCATTTTATTGATTATATTTTTATTGGTTAATAACCAAAATAATGTTCTGTCTGCATACTATCATTCTGGAAGTTAATTATATTAAACAAGGTAATCAAAGAACTATTTTCTTTTCAGTGCTATAACTCTCAAACTTTATTTAAATAATTTTGGAAATTTTTAAAAAGGTTATAAATAAATATATATATATTCAATCTGGAAGCTGTTGAATATTCTACTGGCAGGAGATCTCTGCATATTATAATGCCCCTACATGCTGATGGAATAGAACTTTCTCACACAATACAGTAGTGATTCCTCTCTGTTAATTAAAAGTATATTTTATGGAAGTCTCCATTCTTTCTTATCCACTGTGCTAAATAACATTGCATTTATTTGCATCCACAAACATTTATATAGTCTTATTGTCTATGGAAAAGAGAAGTCCACTTCTGCTAGTTGTTTCCAAAAGGATCAATATGTAAATATGGAGAGAAATTGAATTTTGTCAGGTATGCATAAGTCTCATAAACCTTAGGAAGAATTGTTGGTCTGATAAAACTCAAACATCTTGGAAGTTTTTCAAGGAGTAGACCTTATAAATCTTAACTTTCATGAAGAATCCTATTTAAATCCAAGCTACCAATTCTTCAGTTTTGCCATTATGCAATCTAATTCACATATTAGTTAACTACTAGTTTTTCACATTTTATGATATTTTAAAATTATTCTGATTTTTCTAGTCTCAGTTGATCACATATATTTAAATTTATGCTATGTTATTGCAGATGTTATAAATCTATTTGTTTTTCAGTTATATTTCACTTTTTTTCTTTTTTCCTTCATGCAGAACAAATTGGTCAGGACATATTAGAAAATCTCAGTCAGGATAGAGAAAAGATCCAGCGTTCTCGAGACAGAGTAAGTTTAAACATAAGAAAACAATCTGAGTGGAATTCAATATTTATAGTTAATATTAATGAATGGGTCTCTAATGTTTTTTTTAAAGATAGATAGAGTTTCTGAAATGTTTTATCTTTGAACATTGTTCGAACATTGTTCATTGTTCAACATTGTTCATCCATAAATATTATTATTTGCATTATTTCTAAATTGTTATCTGCCTGTCTCTAACTGATTCTGGGCAGCTGAAGTTCACATCTTATTTGTCAAACTACAATTACAAAACTTTGTACACTCTTACTCAATAAGTTGTTAACTTCAGATACTTAGGATTAAAATGAGTGTTCTAGCAGTGTCAGAAGTGTTCTTCATTAGAGATCAAATAATTATTGTAGTGATTTTTTTAATTATGAAGTTTGTGAATTGAAAATATAAGATTTAATTCTCAAATTTCAAATAGATACCTCTGGATATTTATTAACAATTTCTTTTGTTGTATTGTTCTTACTTTTTAAATCTAAGTTTCTCAGAGTTAAGTGGCCTCTGAACACTAGTAAATAAATTAAATTAAATACATGAAGGTTCTGCATAGCAAGGATTAACTTGTGTTAGCAAAACTGAACTCAATATATCTCAATATGTTTAGTCTTAAAATATTATTCCTCCACAGCTTAGAGAAACTGATGCAAACTTGGGAAAGAGTTCAAGAATCCTTACAGGAATGTTACGAAGGTAAGAGCAAGGTAGGGATCCTTTCTCTTTCTTTTTCTTCATTTTTCTCATTTAGATTTATAGATAAAATTCATAATTTTTATCCCAGTTTTGTATAATTTCAAATGAGTTGAAGTTTCAGGTAAGGAACTGGCCTGATAACATAGGCAACTACAATAAGGCATAAATAAAAGTATACAATAACCCAATAGAGGGTTCTTGCACTTGTCTTGCAGAATGGAGAACACAACTTCTGCATTTGTCTTTTTTCATATAGTAGAGAAGTATAGGGAGCCATGAAGATGACCTTCTACAAACCAGCCAGAAGCTATTAAGTTCAAACCAGGGGCAGAACCATCAGTTAAGGCATAGTGCCTGCATGCAAGAAAGGAGCTCTGTTCTATCACATTCTTATTACCAAAGTGTGAAACAATTTGAACTGTAATTAATTTTTTTTAAGTGTGTGCTTTGAGTTTCTTCCTCCAAATATGAAAATTTCATAACAAGGGATAAATTATATAAAGTTTTTTTTAAACAGAAATTGTATCATGAATTTATAAGTACAATATCTGTACAGGTTGTCTCCCTGTATTGCAAAGGGGGGAGGGAAGGACATGTTTTCTGTATATAATCTCTTCTTTGCTTGATATCTCTCTCCACCTACTACCTCTTGTAGAGTGGAGAGATTAGAGAGAAAGCAATTTCAAGACACTAAGCTGTTTTCACTTCTACAGATTGTAAGCAATGTGATCATACCAGCAAAGGGAAATTATTAGTTATTATACATTCTATTCATTGTATTATATATATTGTATTATTATAATATTATATTATTTAAGATATCTACCCATTCTTAACTTTCTAAAGAGAAATAGGATTGTTTTTCCTCTTCTTTGTACAATCAAATTACAAAGGTTAACATAACTGCACTTTGCATTCATTTCACAAACTTCTCGCACAATTTGGTCTCTGAACTGTAGCATACCAAATTCTCTGATTAAGAATAATATGTAAATGACACTAGCTAAATTCAATATCCATGGAGAAAGGTAGTGGCAATTGAAAGAGATGGTTCAGTGCCTGTGGACAATCAATATAATAATAATAATAATAAAAAAATCCTTGGGCAAGCTTATAGCCTCCCCAAGAAAGGGCTGGGATATGAGCTGTAACGAATATTCTGCATATGTCTCCATTTTGTCAAATCTCATTAAAGGGGCTTCTTGCTTTATGTCAGTTGAGCTGTCCAAAAATCATTCATCATTTTTAGTGTAAAAAAAAGTCATACAGTTGTTTAAATAATATCATATTAATGTTAAAGTTCAGCTGTCATTTAAGGATATGGCTTAATCAGACATAGCATTTAAGAAAAATAGTTTTTTCGGGCTTTACTTCACTTTCAGGTTGGCAGATTCAAATAAGGATTTATGGGTTTCTAAACCGATGTATTTTCCCATGTTTATGCTTGATGAACCTCAGCTTTTCTTTCAGGTGACTGGAGTTCAGGAGTCCGTTATTTTCAGCAAAATAAAATAGTTTTTTCATATAGTGTTTGAATACATTTGCAAGTCATCTAGTGAGGGAAAAGGAAAAATGAACTATAACCTCTGACACTGTGTGCTTGGGAGTCTGTCTTAGGACTCCTAGTTTATAAGTGTTTCATAAGCCAAATGAAAAATGTGTCATTTGTGAAATATTCATGGGTTCCTGTTCTCAGACAAATGCATTATGTGGTCAAATATTTAAAAAGCTTTGTCATTTCTTATATATAAAGAAAGTGAATGCATTGGTAAAAGTGATAGCAATTTGTTCATTTTTGTCATTGTGCTCACATGGTGGATACAATAAGGAGGTAATCTTATAGTATGCTAGGAAAATTTTCTGAAAAAGTATATTCATGAAAAGCAATTTAAATTCACTTTATAAACTTAAGGAGAATATTGAATTATAGGATCATGGGGAGGGGAAGGTGGGAAGGAAGGAAGGAAGGAAGGAAGGAAGGAAGGAAGGAAGGAAGGAAGGAAGGAAGGAAGGAAGGAAGGAAGGAAGGAAGGAAGGAAGGAAGGCTGGCTCTGAATAATATCTATCCTAGCATTCCTAGAAAATAATAATTATCGGAGAAATTTCTGATATATATTTCTGATATATTTGGTCGCACTGACCGATGACCTCTGGCGAGCCCGGGATAGGGGTTATTCCTCTATCCTGGTGCTTCTTGACCTCTTAGCGGCTTTCGATACCATCGACCATGGTATCCTTCTGCGTTGTCTCGGAGAGGTGGGGATGGGCGGCACCGTATTGCGGTGGTTCTCCTCCTACCTCTCTGACAGGTTGTAGTCGGTGTTGGCGGGCGGACAGAGATCGACCCCTAGGTGCCTCGATTATGGGGTGCCTCAGGGTTCGGTCCTGTCCCCCCTCCTTTTTAACATCTACATGAAACCACTGGGTGAGATCATTCGGCAACACGGGGTGAGGTATCATCAGTACGCGGATGATACCCAATTGTATATCTCCACCCCGTGTCCTTTCAGTGAAGCAGTCGACGTGATGTGCCAGTGCCTGGAAGATGTGAGGGTCTGGATGGGGGTGAACAGGCTTAGACTCAACCCTGACAAGACAGAGTGGCTCTGGGTCTTGCCTCCCAAAGGCCAACTGGATGGTCCATCTTTAGTCCTGGGGGGGGCAAATTTACCTCCCTCAGTGCAGGCACGCAACTTGGGTGTCCTCCTGGACTCACAGCTAAATTTGGAACAACATCTATCGGCTGTGGCCAGGGGGACCTTTGCACAGGTTCGCCTAGTGCACCAGTTGCGGCCTTATTTGGACCGGGAGGCTTTACTCACAGTCACTCATGCCCTTGTCACCTCAAGACTGGATTACTGTAACGCGCTCTACATGGGGCTACCCTTGAAGGGCGTTCGGAGGCTGCAGTTGGTTCAGAACGCAGCCGCGAGAGCGATTGTGGGCGCGCCAAGGTACGCCCACATGTCACCTATCCTCCGCGAGCTGCACTGGCTTCCTGTGGGTCTCTGGATGCAATTCAAGGTGTTGGTTATCACCTTCAAAGCCCTTCATGGCATAGGGCCAGGTTACTTACAGGACCGCATTCTGCCGCACAGCTCCCAGAGACCGGTGAGGTCCCATAGATTGGGCCTCCTTCAGGTCCCGTCGGCCAGACAATGTCGGCTGGCGGGCCCTCGGGGAAGGCCTTTTCTGTGGTGGCTCCGACCTGGTGGAATCAACTTCCCCCCGAGGTTCGAACTACTCCCACCCTGCCAGCCTTTAAGAAAGCCGTTAAAACTCTCCTGTTCCGGCAGGCCTGGGGCTGATGTCCCCGGGGGGCCGGGATATGATTGGATTATTTTATTGTTTTATTGTTTTACGACTGTTTTTAACTTTGTACGCCGCCCTGAGTCCTTTGGGATTGGGCGGCATATAAATATTTGTAAATAAATAAAATAAATAAATAAATAAATATAACCTTAGTAGATGCCTTGTAGACATACACTCAATTGTTCAGTTGAAAACTGGCAAATTTCATTTTATTTTGTTGAAACATAGTTTGCTACACTGAAATGAGAAAATCTTGCTGCATGTTGACTTCATTAATTCATTTGAAACTATATGTTTGCCATCTTGGTTTTATGCCATAATATTTTATTATGAGTTTCTTATCTAATTATTGAATAGATTCATCACCTGATCATTTAAAAATATTTCTATGGCACCTGAAAGACCAAGGAATGTATTATTCCATATTAGAATATTTTCTTGAATCACTCCTTTTCATTAGTGGCACACATATAGTTCTGGGGAAAGTTTATATGAATAGAGCTGTTGTTGGAAACAGAAGAGGAATCATTAAGGAAAAAATGAGGGATAGAATTATTTCTAAATAATGACCTGTGGGATACAGGTAACTCTTTTTTGAATAGTAAAAAAGTGAGGTAAGAAATTTTAGAATCTTTAAACCAGTGCTTCTCAACGTTTGTGTGACGGCGACCCCCGTCACACAAATGTGCGGCGCCGCCCCCACGCGTGGCACGGTGCCGCATGCATGTGCGGCGGCGCCCCCCAAGGGGGAAAAATGGTGGATCGCCTTGTTTGGCGACCCCCGAGAAATGGTCGATCGACCCCAAATGGGGTCATGACCCATAGGTTGAGAACCGCTGCTTTAAACCATAAGAAGTTGTATTAAATTTTCTAGTTTCTCTAGCCCCTCAATTTCACAGTGATAATATCCCTTATCTGCATACTCCTGGTGATTCTCTGTACAAGTTCCTGCCGTTTTCTTGACAAGTTTTTGGAAGTAATTTGTCATTGCCTCCTCCCTGAAAGAAAGTGACTGGCCCAAGGTCACCCAGCTGAATTTGAGGCTAAGGCAGGACTAGAATTCATGGTCTCCCAGTTTTGAGCCTGATGCCTTAACCGCTACAGCAACTGACTCTCTAGAAATTTGGAAGATAAATAGTTTCTCCCCAGTTACCAAGCTTACAATCTTTCAAAGTGTAACTGGTACAAAATATAAGGCTCAAAAACATTACAAATGCTTTCTGCTATCAATAGAATTCTGCCTGGTCACATAGAAAGAAAATTATTTCTTCGCTCTGATCTACATATCCAGTTATAAAAAGCTAACATAACATTTTAATATTTTGTTAAATTTATCTCCATTCAGCAGTCATAAAAACAAAGCAGCTTAATATTTTCAATTATCTTCTAAACAATAGATAAAGAATCAGAGCTAATTATGCAAAAAATAAACCTTATTACATTCTAACAGTCCAGTTCATTAACAATTAAAAATACTCCCTTTCCCGTCTAGGCTTTCAGCAACAAAGGGGACTGGAGGCTAAAATGTATAAAGAATGGTTGCTGGAATTGGGTATGTCTAGTTTAATGAAGAGAAGGACGAAGGGGGACATGATAGCAATGTTCCAATATCTCAGGGGTTGCCACAAAGAAGAGGGAGTCAAGCTATTCTCCAAAGCACCTGAAGGCAGGACAAGAAGCAATGGATGGAAACTAATCA